CTTTTACAGTCAATAATAAATATCTCAACAATAATCGATAAGAAAGATTTTAACAACAATCAATAATAAAAAAATATAGAGAAATGAGAACATGAAGAGTGAATGGATAACGAAGAGGAACTCTACGATTTGAATTGAACATTAGTCATTCCCTCGATCAATCACCATGAAAGCAGAATATTATTCTATACTTCTCCCGATCGCTAGCATTACCCTCAATTTGTTTAAAAAAATGTATATTGAAAAAAAGCTATATTTATAAAGAATATAGACAGGTCAGGCGGCCTGGTGTTTTAAGCGGCCTGCCTGGCCTGACTGAGGGGTCGGCCTGGCCTGCCTGTCATAGGCCAGGCCTAAAAAACGTGGCCTGTGCCTGTGACAGGCAGGCAGGCAGGCCTAGTGGCCTGGTTGGACCTCTGAAATGTACTTCTACCTATGCAAAATACTCAATGTTCTGTTTAATTTTTTTCTGACAGATTTAACAGTTTAAAATGCAATTGCATATTTTTTGCCATCTTCTAATCATAGTTAATATAAAAAGATTTTTAAAAATAGCATTACAACTGTAATATCGGGGATAATTTTATTCAAAACACTACAATTAAAACCTGTACAGTCGAGTCCACTTATAAGAGCTCCGGATAAAGGAGCGATCCGCTTTTAAGAGCCGTTTTCCAATTCCCCGTTGTTTTCTCCTGTGTTTTACGTGCTGGCAAAGTCCGCTTATGAGAGCTTCGGATAAAGGAGCGGTTCGCTTATAAGAGCTTTGTTTTGGTGCTTTTTTGCGATTTGAGTCCGCATAAAAGAGCCATATTGTATGTTCTTGTTCTTTTCGTTTTCTATTCATCTGTTGCACGTATGCTCTTTTTCGTCTTACTCACTTGTCCTAACTGACGTCTTTGTTGAGTAAGAAGAACCATTGTCTTTTTCTGTTTATTATTCATTTTCTAAACAGACGGACGAAGCTTCTCCACTTTTTCTCTAGTCCGTCTATTGTCTCTCTCCTATGTATATATACTTGCTGTTTCTTCAATAAAGGGATCAGATATTCATCCATCCAAAAGGTGATATATATTTAACTTCGTTGAAGCTTTATTTTTGAGAGAATGGCATCTACCAGCGGTAAACGTTGCACATTATCGATTGAGCAAAAATTGGAAATCTTGGAAGCACTGAAATCGAAAAAGACAGACGATGTGGCTAAAGATTTCAACATCGGCTATTCTATGGTGAAGAAGATAAGGCAAAACGAAGAAGAAATCCGAAAAATAGCGTTGAACAATGGCAACTTAAATCGAAAACGAAAACGCGAAAGCCCTAATGAAGAAATCGGCGAAGCGCTTATTGCTTGGTTCCATCAAATGAGAGCTCAAAATGCCACGATCAACGGACCGTTAATGTTAGAAAAAGCCAAGCAGCTTTCGATCACGCTCGGGCATCAAGATTTTGAGCCGTCACACGGTTGGTTAGAACGATTGAAATCGCGTGACAACATCAAATTTATCAAGGTTTCGGATGAACGAGCCGCCGCTGATCAAGCTGGCGCGGAAAATTGGATTAATAATGTCTTACCCGTAGTGATCGAAGACTATGATCTGAACGATGTTTTCAATGCGGATGAAACCGGATTGTACTACAAAGCTGCACCATCGGGTACTCTCGCTGTCGCCGGCAGTCATCCTACTGGTGGCAAAACACCGAAAGATCGAGTAACTGTACCTTTTTTTGTGCAATTCTACGGGAACCGAAAAGAAGGCATACGCAATTGAAGAATTCAAAAATCCGCGTTGTTTCAAGAAAGCTCGACTCCCGTTGCCGTACTACAGCGGCAAAAACGCTTGGATGACCAGTTGGATTTGGTCCGATATTCTGCAAAAAATCGATCGAGAATTGGGCAATCGAAAAATCCTTCTTTTCGCCGATAACGCCTCCTGTCATAAGATCGATGAAGCGTTGAAGAACATAAAAATCATTTTTATGCCGCCGAACACGACATCCTTAATCCAGCCTTTGGATCAAGGCACCATTCGTACGGCAAAGGTGCATTATCGCACTCAAGTTATGAGAAAAATGCTTCAAGCGGTCAATGATGGCACGTCGATAATCGATTATGCAAAATCGATCGATATTTTAAAAGCGTTGCATATGCTCAAACGAGCTTGATTTCTCGTTTCGCCCGCTACGATCGAAAACTGTTTTCGAAAAGCCGGTTTTCTGGTTAGTGACAACACTAGCAACGTGGAAGAAATGCAGATGGTTTTGGATGTGTCGGAATTCGGTGAAGCCATACAAGAAGAAGATTTCGAGGCGTTCGTCGATTGTGATAATGAAGCCGAATGTTTTCGAAATCTCACGGATGACGAAATTTGCGATTCAGTGAAACTATATCGACAAGGAATGGCCGATTTAGAAGAAGAAGACGAAGAAGAAGCCGGAATTTCTTATGAATCGATACCAGGTGTCTCTCATAAAGATGCACGGATGCATCTTTCGATGGTTCGCAAGCATTTGGAAGAGAATTTTACAGAGTATAATTCATATTATGATATCGAAGACATGATCGAAAAGAACGCTTTAATTAATTGTACGCAAAGTAAAATCACGGATTTCTTTAAGTAAATTTATGTATGTCTATGTGCTACTTAATAAATGTTGACAAGAAACAATTTTTGCACTGTTCTACATATAGTTCGGATAAAGGAGCGATCCGGATATAAGAGCCTCTTTTAAAAACCCCGACTGCACTCTTATAAGCGGACTCGACTGTATTACTCTTCATCTAGGATTCCGAACAAAGGGAGTCTTTCTGTTATAAATCACAAAATGTGAACTGAATACGATTGGTAAAATGTGGATGTATAGATCAGCTGGACATTTCGAGTTTATTCATGTAGCTCTGGTTTTGTAGCCCAGCTACGCCCACATCCACTTTTTCACGCATGTCACTCACAATCACAACCAGCAATGGTCATACTCGTACATTCACCTACAACTACTCCCGCATTCTTTCGCGCATTCGTAGCGATGAAGTAGATTTGTGCATTTATTCATTGCTGCTTAGTGTATGAGAAGTTTTAATTTATGTCTTACAGCTTTTTAAAAAGTCATGCGTTGGGTTACTTCATTGTTTTTTCAGTTTTTACTTTTGTGTCTTAGTTTTTTTTACTGAGTCATTGTTCGGATTTGATCATTGGTTTAATAATCCATGTAAGAGTTCTGATATTAGGTATATGAATCGATTGGTGATTCATCCCGTAACGCAGTCCGTCTTGAAGCTTTAGTTCTAAGATTTGATCCCGATAAAGCTGTATGGTTTCGACTAGCTGCACTTAAAAAATCGTCTTCGTCATCTTCGGAACTATACAATCCTTTATTCGTAAATGAGTTCTTCTGTTTGCGGACATATGTTGTTGGTGCCGTTTGACAACGTTCTCGAACATTAACTTGACATCCGGAATGGAGCGTTCTGGATGAGTTCGCATTGATGTGTCGTTCGTTTGAGAATTGTAGATCGCTGTTGGATATAGAACGAAGATCTCTAATAATTTTCTCAAAATTCGGTCGATTGCGTTTCCACCAGGTACAACAAGCACAGAGGAGTCTTCGGAATTTTTCTGGTGCTCCTTGTTCTCGGCAAATCTCTTGAAAAATCGGCCCATTTCTCTCATCGGCCAAAGCATTCATGAGCTGTCGATTTTTTTCGTAATTCTCTTTCCATGGTACGTTCTTTGTTATTATTTCAAGCAAAACGCATCCAAATGCCCAAACATCGGATGAGAATGAGCTTCTCTCTGGATGAGTGGTGCAAAGTTCGGGTGCAAGCCATCTAATAGCTCCTAGAATGAATGTACACAAATCACCTGCGACAGTTGATGTAAAAGATTCGTTCGTCGTTCTCATATTTCGCCTATGCATCACTTAAATCAAACTCCTTTGATTGCGACGTTGAGAGCCTAATTGTTCGAACATTACATGCAAAAAATAGTGGTTACAGATGAGTCAGCATGGACATGAGTGTCAGTGTGGGTGTGTTTGAAAAATAGTGTGAAATTCGATATGGCTTTCAGTTTTACTCTATGAGTGGATCGGCATTGGTTGGTGGGTGATTGTACTGCATGGTAGCTTCTGATGTGTGAAGGGGGCAGGGAGCACAGTGAGCAGCTAGGCGACAAAATGAACTCCCGAGATTTCGACCCAGATCGGAGCGTGCATGAAATCTGCTATGCTTCTGCGTTTAACTGTAGTCTGGGTTTTGATTGAAAGTGAGTATCTGTCATACACTAGTTGTCATAATGTAGGAAAATTATGTCAAGATTATCACAAGCAGTATATAAGAAAAGTTTCTATTTTTAAATGAATATGTAGTTATCGGTAATTGTTGCCATCCAGCTATATAGTGTTAACTGTTTACTCTATATTATAGACCTTTGGAGTTTTTCCAAGTTTTTTATGCTTCAATAAGGTGAGAAAATTACATATAGTATGATAAAAAAATGATGACTAGTGCATAATGCAATGGGCTTGCGAAATCACGCACAAACTTTTATTCAAATTTTAATTTTCTATATGGTACAGCGTCTTATAATTTATCTTTGGTGGATGCGTCAAGATGTATTTTAAAATTCGTGCTGAGATATAGTGCTTCAAAGGTAAGATTCTATCAAAATTTGTTGGTAATGCTTATGCAGTCATTGCCTACGTTTCTACTACATGATCTTTTGAATAGATGAATAAATATCAAAACATATACCTCTGTAAAATTCTACGCTGGGTGCTTTATTCTGCAATCGATTCATAAGCATCCTCCTCCATTTCACCTCACAGTGGGCAGCCAGACGACAAAATCGATCTCTGAGATCTAAACCTATGTGTAGCTGCCATTGAAGCTGTTACGTATCTGCATTTAATTGTACCTTGAATTCTTATTGCAAGCGACCAGTCACCTTGCAGCAGCTACTATAAAGTAAGTAAAATAGGTAAACGTCACTAATAATAGGACCCAATACGTAAAATATATTTTGCAAATTGAAATTCTATATTGTATTCATTAGACATTAAACAGTTATTTAGTGTAGTGTATGTACTATATGTTACAGATTGCTGAATAATGCAATTGTTTCGACGAATTTTTCCGAGAATTTTATCTGAATTTTAATTTACTATCGCATAGAGCATGTCATCAAGCAATATCGGGGGATAGGCAAAGATGCGGATCGACGCTCTTATTAAGATATAGTGTTCCAAATCTAACCTTAGCTGCAGATTCATTCAGAGTGACTTTTATAATAATTATGTATTTTTTATATCGGTTAAGTTTCCAACAGACAGTGCAAGCTCAATTGTAGACATTTTCAGACTTCTATATCAATTGTTTGGTTCTAAATATAACCCATAAATAGTTTCTAACTTTGGAGTTCTCATCAGGAAACGTTGATAACTCACAAGGAAACCTCTCCAGATCGAGACTAGATTCACTCGATTAGTGGCGGCGAGTATTGAAAAGTCTAGAATAATTTGGTTTTCTAGATTACCGTTTCTGTGAAATCGAAGTTTCATTGAATTTTTCAACAAAACCTCGGAGTCGCTCACATGCCATGTCGAAAGTTGACTTTTGAGTTTCGACTTGAAACTTTGCCTAAATAATGTTCTGAATGTGACTAATTCATTGTGAAAGTTTCAGATTTGTTTTTGTTGCTTCTGTTGTGAGATACGAATATAGGCGGAAAATCTTCACTTTCACAGAACAGAATCAAGAGGAAAAGCTGAAATTTTCATAATGAACTAATTACATTGAGAACATTATTCTTGCAAAATTTCAAGTTAAAATAGAGAAGTTAACTATCAACATGATCTGAGGTGGACTACCGGTTTTTTTTTAAATTCAGTGAAAAGTATATTTTTCAAAAGTCTTACGAATAAAAGAGGCTAAATAAGCACAGATATGCACCATCAAGAGCGAAGCATAATTACACAAAATACCAAGTTAATAGCTACAGTAATTAGAAGGAGTGAGGTAAGGTACTGTTACCGTTTGTGGTTATGTGAGTGATTGACTTTAGGACTGGGTGTGTGAGAATTGAGTGGTTAATATGGGCATATGATCAGTGAATGTATGTAGGTTTTTTGTGCGCCTATCTCTGTAGGTTTGCAGTTGAATGTGAATATGTGGGTCCTGCTGTCTAGGTTCGTGGTTTTTAATAGGTAGGTAAGTGTTTTTCCTTCGACTGCAGGAAGGATCACATGAAATAAAATGAGTATGTGTGTTGATATGTATCATTGTTTGTGTGCATACAAACGTATCTAAATGTATTCGGGTATATTCAAATTAACTGTCGAATCTGATGACTACTTTGAGTAGGAGCGTTGCTCAAGAAGAGTATTCCGATTATAGGTCTGATCTAATATGATTTATTTTAAGCTAGAAGTTCATTCAAACTTGTATTTTTGTAGCGGACGCTCTACCAAATGACATTGTCAATTGGCCTGCTGGTAACCATACAGATTTTTAGTAGAGTTTTTAAGGAGTATGGTACGTTTTCACGCTAGTGTTGCAGGTATGCTTTCCTTGGTAATCCTCTCAATAGATTAAATATAATCTCTTTTCTCACGTACATGTGGATAGTGCTGCTTTAGTGAAGTTAATTTAGTTTTTCGTTGGGTATTAGTGTGTCGGTGTGTGTTTGATTGGATGCATTAATGATAAAACTCATCACACGGACACGCGTAGCATTGTGCACAACGACACTAATGCGAATATCAACATCCACAC